AAAAGCAGTCGAAATACTCTTAACGTAATCCTGGGCCTTTTAAAGGACAAAAGAAATAAATTTTTAGTAAATTCATGTCAATTTTCTTCTAGAAAACAAAAAGAGATTCATATTTAAATTACAATTGAGAAAATCCAATATTTATTTATGTAATTATTAAACTAATCGATTATGAAGGTCTCATTTTGTTTTGCTTCTTAAAATAGTTTGTAATTAAGATAATTTTGAGGTTGTTAATCACAAATGATTTTTTATTTATTAAAAATCATTTTTTATAGAAAAAGAAAATGTAAATGAGATGTAATTAAGCTGATCATTTAAATTAACAGCTAATTGGAGTTTGCATTGATAGTAAATGCCAATAGTAAAGACCTTATTGTAATTTTTGCCTGGCTAGTCATGGTCAACACTTAAACAAGTTATTAGAACTTATAGATGATTGGATTCGTAAAAGAGTACTAATTATCCAGAATGTTTTATAAAAGACTTGTGAGTGCAAATTAGCCCTTGATAGTCTTCTAAATAAATTTATTAATTTATACAATATTATTTTGGTATAGCTACCTAAATTAGGGCTTTCATAGATCGACAACATTATTAAAGGTTTAAGTTTAATTGATTTATGGGAGAAAACTTTACTTAACTAATTCCAATAATCTATCGAATAAATTATATAGAAAGTTAAAGAAATTTTTGAAAACCAAAAAAAATAAACAAATGCAGATAATTTATAAATTTTAAATCCTTTTAACATCAAAGAATAGATTTTTGAATAAAAATTAAATCTAAATCCCATTAAATACAATCTAAAATCATTCACTTTTGAATTGATTAATTAAAATTCTATTCAATAAAAGGAATATTGCTATGCAATCGAAATTAATAAAGATAACTCAATTGTTGTAGCAGGGTGTGGTAAGTAAATTAAAGTATTTGATCTCAAATAAGGAAAATTAAATCAATCATAACTCTTAAGTGATCATTAATAAAATGTATTAACATTAAACTTTATGAAGAAATCAAATCATTTTGTATCTGGAAGTTATGATAAGTTAATTATAATATGGTAGATGAATCAAAATAATTAATGGACTTACTAACACAAATTGTATGGACATTCTGATAGTATTAGTACTTTAATATTGAATAATAATGAAGATGTTATTATTTCAGGTAGTTATAATAATGATTCATCTATTAAATTTTGGAATAAATAAAATGGATGGTTGTGTTAATAAACCATTAAAGATCATACTCATAATGTCTATTCATTAAGTTTAAATGAAAAATAAGATAAATTGATATGTTGTTCATAAGATCAATAAATATTAGTAATTGAATATTCTTAGAATGATTAGATATGGAATGTGATTTAAAAGATAAAAGTAGAATAATATGGATATCGATTGAGTTTTATAAATGATAATTAATTCACATTCTAACCTTATAATAAAGAATGTATGCATGTATATGAGAATAATAGTAATAATCAATAATTTGTTAAGATCAACCAGATTACTGTAAAATCTGGTTCAAATAGTTGTGCTAATCTATTTCCATAATAATACTTAAAATGTAAATGTCTTTTAGTGAATAAGAATGGTTAAAATATCAACTTAATAAGGAAGAAGGAAAACGGAGATTTTGTAACTGAGTAAACTATTTAAATTGATCATCATTATATTTTTGGTTAATTAAGTGATGATGGTGAATATCTAATCACTTGGGATTAAAAATCAAAGGAAATACAAACTAGAAAATGCAAAGAATTATGAATAATATATAATTTATAAGTTACAAAAATTCGATAAAATATTATAAAAATAATTCAGGGAGCTTCTTATCAAATTCAGCTTGATCAGATAAAGTTTTCTGTGAGAAGTTTACTAAAATAAATTTAAATGTAAATGGTAATCGTCTGCACTTGTAAAGAAATAAAAATTCAAAAAAATTTTAATTGAAATTAATTTCGAATAATTTTAATAATTATACAATGATAATTATTTAGATTAAAATAATTTGAAACTCGTTTATTTATACTTTATTCTAATTTGATTAAATTAGGAAGGTCTTTTAATTTTATAAATATTATCCATTAGGTAATATCGAATAAATCCAAGTTGATTTTTAGATTGAATAGCAAAATTTGTTCATCTCTATTGTCTAAAATCTAAAGTTCATAGATACTTAAGAAAAATAAGAATATTTACCTATTGTGTGCATTACTTATATAAGAAAGTATTTTCTGAATAATATTAAAATCAACTAATTTATTTCAGATTACTAGATCAAATAAGTTTTCAACCTGAATATTTGTTTCAGATTTTCATTTGTGAACATTTTCTAATCTAGTAACTCATGCGTTTTAATCAGCTAATTACTAATTTTCATCAGAGTTAATGAGAAAGTCAGTTAATTTAAAATTCTAATTATAATACATTAATATTGATATTAATCAACTAATAATGGAATTTAAATGGGAATTATAAAATTCTGGAAGAATGGACTAAGTTCATGAAACAGGAGTATTTTCAAACCAATATACTAGATTATTTGTTTCTACATCCTTCTCTGCATCGAAAAGAAGTATATCTGTTATGGAATGAATTAATAACTTGCTATTAGTAAGCCAACAGTAAAAGTTTATGGAGTAATTGAGTAAGTTAATTGAAGAATCCAAGTAACATAAGAATTAGGATAAGATTAGATACAACAACAATGATTCTAGTACTCTAGAAGATGACATAATTAGAGAATTAATAAATAACTTGATCCTTTAATTTAGTAAAGGAGGATGAATTTAAACAAAAGAGTTTGAATTTCAAGGAGAGTAAATTAAAAAACGACCTTTATATAATCAAATTATATTCTTTTTCTAATAATTATAAAGATAATTTAAATGCTCAAATCTCTATTAATGATAAAATTAAATTCTTAAATAAACATTACTCTTAATCATTTGATGGATTGGCTATCCGATCAAATCCTTAAAAATATTATTGGAAAAAGATAAGTTCATAATATAAGTCGAAAAAATTTGAATATAAGAGATGACATCAATTGTAAATTAATTAGATTTATAAGATTAGAATGAAACAAAATAAATGAAACTTAAGGAATTATTCAATCAGAATAACTTAATGTAAAAGGAGTTATAGAAATAAAAAAAATAAAATAAATTACTAAAAATTCATCTATGAAGTAAGAATAGACAGATAATATGGAGCTGAGTTTGTTGACGGATTTTTCTTAATTACAAGACAACTTATAAACTGGATAGGTAAGAATTCACCTCATCAAATGTAAGAACTGAGGATTCACATTTCCAATACTAAAGGAAATGCATTCTTTAAAACCTCCATTTTATAATATTTTGAAGTCGGTCAAAAGCTATTAAGAAACATATAGATCAACCAATCACAAGAACTTTTTAATAAAAGCTAACTTGGTACAATAATTAGTTCATTGAAGGATGAAAGAATTTTAGGAATGTCTTTAGAATATAGGTATAAAAGGAATAAGAGTATCTGATGAATTATTGGAATGATAGAAATATTGTTATACTTTAAGTATTTTAAAAAATTCACAAATCAATGATTTCAAATGCTATCAATTAAAAATTAATATAATAATTTCTTTATATTAGAATTCTAATTGAATATGTGATTTTATACTGTTTTAGAGGCAATATTATTTTATAGATTTAATTTAGAATATTTAATAAACAGAAAAGGAAATAAAATTATGATAGTTGGTATCTTTATTTATTGCAAAAATTACAATTGAATCAACTTCTTTAATTTAATTTATTTATTACAATAATCCTTTGTAATTTGGTACTTAT